ATAGAGGTTGCATTTTCCAGTGTTTTTTTCAGTTTCAGTGCTTCATGTTAATAAAGTGTCTGAGAGAAGAGACAGGGAAGGGGAGAGAAACTGAGATGGGGAGAAAGCAGAAAAGAAAAGAACAAGGAAAAAGGAGGAAAAACAGAAAGAAAAAAGCGAAAGAGAGAAAAGAAAAGAGAAAAAAAAAAAAAAAAAAAAAAAAAAGAGTCCCGCCTCTCAACAGGTTGGAGTTCTGTTGTGTGTGTGAGAGAGAGTGAGAGAGAGAGAGAAAAAAGAGCGCACGCCGAGGGGGGAGGGGGGGGGGGAGCATAATTTGTCTGGCCAATATCCCAGTCTCTTAAAAAGATGAACAAGGTGGCCAGTAAGAGCAATAGCTGGAAACTGGAGGTTTGAAAGGCTAATTAAGGCCGAAAGGAAACACTTCTTCAACGTGTATAGTAAACAACCAACCGGAATAAACAAGATGGACAGATTATTTATACAAAGACAACACAAATTCCAGAGTAGACAACAGCACGATAAATGAAGAATGGGAATCTATGCACCAAAAATTTCAAAACATGAAAAGGCGAGGCCCAGGAGAAGCAGCACTAGCCACAGGCACATTTAGGCAGGTACACACACACAGGTGACCCTCAGCAGCAGCAGACAAAAGCAGCCAATGATCTAACGGATTTCTACACACCTTTCACTATTACCGGTTCAGTAAACCACAAGGCTCAAGGTTTCCTCAGTAACGCATTACAAGCAGTTTTAGCGGAGCCAAGAAACAAATAAGGCGAGCAATACGAACACACCCGAAAACTTCCTAATCTGGCTCCAGTCCTCCGAGGATCCCTCAGGTGTTACGAGGCTACCTTCTCATAATGTCTTCTTGCAAGATTTGAAAATGTCTATACTGTAGATTGATCAATTTTTATATTCCGAGTCTTTATACTGCTATTAAATGCCCATCGTTTGGGGGAAGGACAAAGAAGAAATGGTGGAGGGAGGAGGCAGAAAGAAATGGTGGATGGGGAGAGGGAAAGAAGTAATAGTGGAGGGGGGGAGGTGAAAGGCATATGTGAGGAAGGGAGGAGGCAGGAGCCCACCCGACCTTGCACAGTAACAACGCCCCAGACAACCTTATATTTACAACCATTACTGTCATTACATTATACCATATTCACAAGTATAACAGTTATAACAAACAATTTGACAGAGCAACAACTAAGTATTCTCACATAATTTGTGAAGACATTAATCTATATGAAAGAGAATGCCTGTCTGCCCGAGGTTGGTGGCTAGACTCTTGGGGCTGGCCTCATTAAACTTTCCAGGATTAATTATCATTTTATCGGGAGTCATAGGGGGGAGGGGGAATGTCGGAGTCGTTCTAATGCCCCTCGAAGGAGGGCATTACCACCAATGCCACTCTTTCACGAGGTCTGTGAATGTGAAATGTTCAGTGCTTAGTCTAGACACTTCAGCATTAGTTTAAATAACAGTGAATTCAGAGGTGGAAGTATGAGGGAGGGAGAGAATGGGAAAATAGTAAGGAGAATGGGAAATGGCAGGGAGGGAGAATACGAAGAAGGAAAATAAGGAGGGAGAATAGAAATAAGGAAAATAGGAAGGGAGGAATAAAGACATACAGGGATAAACAGACTTGGGTAATCCATTGAGTTAGCTTATACTAAAAAATGTAACTAGCTCATCAGTGCTGTAACTTGCTTAGCTAAATAAATTTTATATTCAATTTGTACATGCACACTAAGTAAGTAATTATCAAAAGAAGGCACCAAACCGGGAAGGTTATGTAGCACCAGGTGTGAAGAATAATCAGAGGGTGCTAAATATCACCAAGGATGCCAATACGAGAACAGAAACACATAAGTCACATGCACACTACGTGAAAGAAATAAAGGGTGAGAAAGTATCAGAAATTGAGAGCGAGAGCAATGCTTGATAGCACGAAAATGCCTACAAACCATGATAACACTGACTGGCATTTCATAAGTGTTCTATTCATCCAAGCTGATAACTGCTAACATCAGACAACACATGGCAATTAATACAGAACTGTACAGCACAGGTTCATCATACAAAGATTTTGTTATATTTAGTGACATATTTGGAGGTTAGTTTACAGGTATTTCAAATTACAGTACTATTTCTTTTAGTCATGTTTTAATCCCTGGTTCACATAGGGTACACACACATGTACCTACAATAAACAAATACAAATTTAATTTCTACACTTCAGGGGGGGAAAGGTCAAATATTTACATAAATATACAAATAGAATACAAGATGGAAATTTTTTGTAATATATTTCCTGATGCATGTAAACATAATAAATCTAATATAACAATCTAGAGACATATGAAACACCATGAGTGAAGGGTAATGCGTTGCATTTCCCATCTGTGAGGCTCAAATTCATAAAATGCATCCAGGCAGGATTAGTGAGGGGTAGCATTTGCAAAGAGGGCATCAAACCTGCTACTCTTCCCATTGTGAAGCCCCAGAGGCTAAACTCACCAATCTTGCTTGGGGAAAACAAAGCAAGACACCATTAAGGATGTCAGCTTTTAGCATTTTAAGACATACATAAATTACTGATACAGTAGATCTGCAAACAAAAATTATTGCAGTTCATGCCTGGTAGTTATATTTAGATACCTATATAACATTTTGAATAATCTCGATGAGAAGAAATATCCAGACAAACATGGGTAAACTTAAATTTGAATTAAATAGCTCATGACATTATTATACAGAGCCAATGTGTTTTAATATTTATTATATAGTTACAAAATTATCTCCATGAGAATTTAATGAAAAAAAGTGCTAGTACTCAATTATGGTATGTAGTTTTCCCAGGATCTAAAGGACTATATAGAATCCTACAAAACCCTTCCTACATGCAAGCCTATTATGGTATGATAAATTAGAAATTAGATCATGAAATAAAAATTACTATCAAAAAGTTATAAAATAAAAAATACTTTGCATGTGCATGTTTCTGTGTGATGTGCAGTTTTCATGTGCAGTATACGTGTGTTATGTTCGTGAGGAGTGTGCGCGCATGTGCCATGTATACAAACTGTACAGTATTTCAAATATTTTAATCCCAGAAATAAGTCAACAGTACCACATTTACTAATTACATCCAAATAAATATTAAATGGATGAAAACATTTCCAAATAACATTTGTTCACACAATTACCAAGAACAATAAATTTGTTAAAATAAAAAAGGGCTCAAACGTGTAAGATAATGTATTTAATCATACTACACTGAGAAATAGCTTAAAAGTACAGTATTACCTAAAAGTATACATAAAAGTAACCCCTCATGTGCAGCAAAGTTTGCTAAAATAACCTGTGCAACTTACACTATAAATTAACTGAACCTGGGTTTCAAATCATTGTACAGATGAGAAAGTTGATACAGCCAGGGGAAGTGTATCAGAAATAAGTTGTAGACTGGTTGGTCTCAGTCCTTTGTGGAAGTACCACCACAGTGGATATAAAAGGAAATACCTTACTTAACTGATAGTTCCTTGGCTAGTTACTCTGGTGGCACTTGGTGGTCCATTTCAGCTCCACCTCCATATTGCCCCTGAACGTACTAAAACTTTGCTATTCTTTAAACTTTAGTTGCACATTTGTGCTTTTCTATCTTTGTTTCGTCACTCGTACTTCCTCAACTGTATGTGCTTTCTGAGAGTATCTTCTTGAGGTTATCTTGAGATGATTTTGGGGCTTAGCGTCACTGTGGCCTGGTCCTTGATCAGGCCTCCTTTTTGTTAGACACCCCCAAGAAACAGCCCGTAGCAGCTGTCTACCAGGTACCTATTTACTGCTAGGTGAAAACAGAGGTATCAGGGTGAAAGAAACTGCACATTTGTTTCCATCTTCACCAGGGATCGAACCCAGAACCTCAGGACTACAAATCCGAAGTGCTGTCCACTCAGCCGTCAGGCCAGTCAACATTCATTCCATACATTCTCATTTCCAAGTGCTAGCAAGTCATAACTACTTCTTCACTATTATGACAGCCAAACCAGCATGTAGAATTCTTTGACAAAAAATTCAGGTGCTCCATCAAGATTACCTTAACACTTTAAGGCATTGAATGAGATTCTACATGTGGTTGCTCCTTCAAGGATGGGAGGTTCCTCATAGAAACGAGGTGTCAGACAGTAATGATAGAGAAAATCAGGGGAATATAGCTATCATAAAATAAATAAATGAATGAATACAATACCTCAATGGGAGACTTGAGTTTTGAACAAAGAAAAGGATATAGATAAAACAATCACAAATAGTTTTTTGAGGTAACTGCACATTAAAAATGAAGGTAAAACAGAAGGGAAAGGTTCTGCAGCAAATGATGGTGTTTGAGTGGAGAACTCTATGGGAATGTGCATATATTATGGCATGTGTGAAGGATGTTGTGTATGAGCTAACCTACAGTATGGCTGGAGAAGGCATACAAAAGATAAGCAAATTACAAAAAAATACTGCTAGAACAAGGTAGTCACTGACATGAGCAATAACCATTTTGCATGGATATCTCACATTTAATCAAGTTATCAAAGACAAAGTTATTCCAGGAGGTAAAATACAAAATGCACCTCGGTATTCACAGCATGCATGAATATGTATATATATTGTACCTAATAACCAGAATGTACTACTTGATCTATTATGCAAGGTCCAATTAGCCTATTAGGCAGTGATTTTTGTTATTAACCAAAATTCAAATGGGTTTATATGAATTATTATTACAGTATTATATTGTATTAGGAACGTTAATTACTGACTTGGTTATGTTTGGTCCTATATTTATGTTAGTTTTAACTGAAATAAAAAAAAACATATATAATATAATGGAAAGATTTATTACATAAGAAAAATTTAGAAAAATATATAACTTCAGGAAAATTCAGTCCTTGCATAATAGGCCAAGTAGTGCATTCCGGCTATTAAGTACTACATACATACATATACACACACACACATACACATGCATACATACATACATACATACATACATACATACATACATACATACATACATACATACATACACACACACACACACATACATACATAAGACACACACACACAGTGTAGGTAACTATGTATGCATCTACAGCAAGGCCAATCCTTGCTGTAACATGAAGGAAACTATTCTCCAATGAACATTTTAGAACGTTCACAGATCTTGGAGCCATCTTCCTGGGATGATCAGACCAATGTTTCTGTAATATCATGTCACCATCATTTTTCCCCTTGGAAATGCACACAATGCTTCATGTCAACTTGGTTACATCCACCAATTAACTTATGTCCTTAATTTGGTAGCCTGCTTTCTTTAAAGCATTGATCTGAGTAATGATTTCTCTGCTTAGTTCCTTGATAGGCGCCAAAAGAACAATACCATCAAGAGCACTGTTATCTGTAATAAAACACAGCATGGTGCCAAAGCGAGTTGAGCAACATAACTGTTCGCTTGCGCTACCACCTTGGTAGCGCACACCACAATGACATGTGCCCAGCGCATACGTCTGTTTACAATCTTCCAACCACAAGACCATAATTTTTTATGTTCTATAGGTATGCGCTATGTTGAGCAGGGTGGTGCATACTTTTGATGAGTACTGTGTGTTTATGCATGTATTAAAATAAACAAATATATATATAATCACACACACAGTACCTAATAGCCAGAACTGCACTACAGTACAAGGCCTAATAGTCAGGATCCATTTTGACTTGTAACCAAAGCACTTTTTTTCTTAAATTGCTACAAAGAATAGTGTCTAATGAAGAGGTAATATTGAAAAGATTAATTTCTAATTTATTTAGGCTTAGTCCTACCTATGTCAGGAGTTTTGTAATAATAGGAATATTTATGTTAGGTTAGCATGTCAAATTAAAAATATTTTTGTCTCTTCAAATTAAAATATCTATGAATAATTAATATACAATTTAATAAAAATTTAATGTTTACATAAATTCAGGTTGCCAAGCCAGCTCTGGTTATTAGGTATGATTATACATACATACATACATGACAATGTCATACCACGAAGGAAGGATTTGGTCAGGAATTTCCTTAAGATCTTTCGTATTTAATAATACATCTTTAGAAGGAAGGATTTACAATTCAGTGGTGTGGATATATAGGTAGGAATGAGGTGAGGCGAGAAACAATGCCTTTAATGAGGTAAGAGGATATTAATAAGGCATTAAATGTGTATCAATGATCTTACTCAAATCGTTTTTGAACTGATCAATAAAAATGGTTCTAAATTATATAAACCACTACTAGGTTCAAATTCCATGATTTTGTAATCTGTATTAAATTCAATATTATTTCTATTGAAAAAATGTTACAATTCGATATTAAAGAAGCCCTCTCCCAATCAATTTGGTGAGAACTTTCTGACAAATGAAAGACAAATGAATGAAAACTTTCATTTGTCAGAAAGTTTTCACCAAATTGACTGAGAGGGGGCTTCTTCAATAACAAATTGTAAAGTCATTTTCAAAGAAACATTATTGAATCGGCTTTAATACAGATTACAAAATCATATAATTTGAACACTAGTAGTGGTTTCTATAATTTTTGACTGCTCAGTTAAAAAATTATTCAAATAATATCACTGATACATATTTAATACCTTATTAATATCCTTTTATCTCATTATCGTTTCTTACCTCACCTTATTCCTGCCTATAAAACCACACCACTGAATTGTAAATCCATCCTTCTGAAAAAGTATTATTAAATACAAAAGTACTTTAAGGAAATTTCTGTCTTAATCCTTCCTTCGTGGTCTGACACTGTCACATTGTTCATCAAGTGTTAATTTCTTTGTGATTAAACACACATACATATGTATATATATACATACAGTATGTATCTGTATATCAAATTTTGTTATAAAGAGTACATCATCCATACGCTCATACTGTACTTTAAGAGCAGAGTCACTTGGTACCAAGTTTATATTAAAAGTTGAACTTAATGGTATCTGGATTTCTCCCATCCTCTTCGTCCATCACTGCCACTCTGATCTTTGGTTATGATTTTTTTTTTCTTTCCTCCAATCCCCATCCCGTGGATGATAGCTTTCTCTCTCTCTTATTTCTTCCCTTTGTCCCTTCCACTCTTTGTGGTCTCCAGCTTCAATTTGTCTCCCATGTTCTCGTTGCTTCCAACGTTCTGTAACTTTATCATCATCCTTTGCCATCTCTTCAAAATCACTTCTCTTTCTCTTTGAATCTCTTTCCGGGCTCTCGTGTCTTTTCTTTCTTTTTTCTACCCTATCACCATCATCATCATCTCTAAGCTCTTGGTCATTTTCATCATTACTCTCACGACTCTTAATTTCGTCCTTATTTTCTCTTTTTCGTTGATATCCTGCATCTTGGTCTTCCACTCTTTTCCTAGCCTCTGATCTAGTGTGATCGTTATTTGTTCCTCTTCTGTCTCCTTCATAATCATCCCTATGCCTCTCTCTCTTTTCTGTATTTTCACCTTCCTTTCTCTCTCTTGAAGATGCATGATTCTTTTTCCTTTCATCTCTTTCATATCTGTCGTCTTTCTGTCTATCTCCGCTTTCACTACTACCCTCTCGTCTTCTGCTCCAATCCTCAATATTCCTCCACCTCTCCCCTCTGTCTCTCTCTTTAATGTCATCTAAATCTTCCTCCCTGTACCTTACAAAAGCTTGCTCTTCTTCACTATCACTCATTTTCTTGCTAATGGATTTATCACCAGATCTTTCACCCTTCTTGTTTGTTTTAGATTTGCTTTTGCTGGACACACTTTTAATCTTAGTTTCTTTCTTCTTCAGGTTCTTCTTTTTTCTCCTGTCATCTTCTGAATGCAAAATAAATTTGTATTAGGAACCTTTATGAATGCCTAATGTATACTTTGCACTACTGTATAACAAATGTTGATAATACAAAGAAATGGCACTAGATTTGTCCCTGAACTAAAGGAACTTAACTGGGGAAAAGCAATGATTATTTTGCACCAGAAAACAATAAAAAGGTTCAGAGAGAACAGTCATTACATACAAGTAGTATACTCGGGACCATCAATAAAGTGGGCAAGGGCAAGTTCTTTCAATGGGGGTGGGGCTGGGACAATGGAGTAGGGCCTGGACTGTGGAGTAAGGCCTGGACAATGGGATGGGGCTGGGACAATGGAGTAGGGTCTGGACAGTGAAGTAGGGCCTGGACAGTGAAGTAGGGCCTGGACAGTGAAGCAGGGTCTGGACAGTGAAGCAGGGCCTGGACAGTGAAGCAGGGCCTGGACAGTGAAGTAGGGCCTGGACAGTGAAGTGGGGCCTGGACAGTGAAGTGGGGCCTGGACAGTGAAGTGGGGCCTGAACAGTGAAGTGGGGCCTGGACAGTGGAGTAGGGCCTAGACAATGGGGTGGGGCACAACAATGATACAAATGGAAACTGATCACTCAAGACAATAATAGCCATTTCTTAGGAGTGAGAGTGCCTCATGAAACCTTACACAATTAGGCAGGGAGTTATGTTCTCATAGGTCATGTAGTAATAAATTATTGTCAAAGACCTTATGCAAAAAATAAAAGTTCTTGGCCAATGTTTGAAGGGATCCATTATATAAATGTCAAGAGATTGGATGGTGCACTGTACTCATTATTCCACCCTGCACTCATTATAGCACCCCTAGAATTATTATACCTATGTACGTGTTAAACCAATTTTTTGTGCCTTGAAATAAGATGGCTTTGTGATACTAGAAGAATAGAGGAATAGGCAATCTCAAGGGGGGGACCCATCACAGAGAGCATAAGACTGTGGGTAAGTCCTCCAAATGCCCACGAAAAGAGCAGAGATGAAGGAATTATGGAAGTAAGGATCAAAAGTGAGGAAGCCAGCTGAGGGAGGACAAATGAATGTAATGAAATGCCCATTTCTGGGCGAGCCCCGGAGGCTCACTGAAGCTATCACACTGATTCAATGCCAAATTTCTAGGTGCCATCAGTCGCAGAGTTCTATTGGCCTAATGAAAACCATGCAGCCCATTCCCCAAAGGTTTCAAAACGTCAAGAAATAGGTGAATTTAAAGTGTCTTCTCCAAACCTAACAGACTAAACCAGAGGACCCAAAACAAAAAAAACAGGACAGTACGTCACTTTCGCAAGCTGCTTCCATTTTCTAGTACTGTACGACAATGTTTGGCCATAGTAATGCATACGAGTGAAAAGCAATGTTTTATGTAAAAGGACAGGTTGAACCTCGAGCCAGAACCTGGTTCCCTCAGAGGTGCAGGAAGCGGTGGCCTATGAACACTAGCTGAAGTAAGTAATTATTAAAACGAAGGCACCAAGCTGGAACACTAGCTGAAGAGGTACCAGAGCCAGCTGCAGTGCACACCAACCGCCAAAAACATTCCCTAATCCAGAGCAAGATGGAAAGCCAAAGACTCCCAGCATACCCCAAGGACGAGGACCACCCCAAGCGAGGAAGCCCCCTGACGAGTGTGTTTCCCGAACCCCCCAGAAAAGGTAACCATGACAATGAAAGGGTAGTAATTACAGAGTGTACAAGGAAGAGAAACCTCAGCACATTTACAGTAGTTCTAATACTTGAAAACACCAAAGAAAATCGGAACACAGAGCCAGAGGAACAGTCACCACTCGGCACACTACATCAGTCAAGAACAAACCAACAGGGGCCTGGTTTGATGAAGTTTTGGTTGTTTGTTTCCTTTTTAGGGAAGTTCTTTTGATGTTTTGAGGGTTTGTGTCTCATCTTAAACCATGCAATGGTTTATTTTGACATGCCTACCTTTCTGGGCACCTTCATGGTGATGGCAGAAATCACACTTTAAATGTAAAGTATTCATGTGCCATCACTCCCTGAAGCTCTTCTGAGGGGCCAGGTTCTGACTCGTGGTCCCCAGTAGGCAAACAACAACATAACTAATGACACTCAAATAGTATGGCACTTTAATCAGTAAGCTAGCTTCAGGGGAGTCGACAGAGCTCCCAAGAAAAAGTATCACAAACTTGTTTTTGCAACTATAATACAGTAAAGCTTATTAATAAAACATTTCTAAAATATAAATACATTATAGTGGGGTTCCATCTCTGGTGCAAGTGTAGGGAGCTCTACAACTTGTGACAAGTAGCCTTGTACCCTGCATGTAACCAATGTTGTAACCCTCTTTGTGTAATGAAATTTTAAAATAAAATTAGATATATACACACAATACATTATAAGTACTATATTTTAAATAATATTTAAAAATATGCAAGGTTAGCAAAAAAGTAAGAAAAAATACAATTGGTTGGAAATTGCTTAACATGATGAACTGATGATCCGTATTACATTCAGTACCCTCTTAATTTTGTTTTTCTTTAGAAAACTGAAATCCGGTGGGTGAATTTAGTCTGTTGTTTAGAAGGTTCTGCTATAGGGAGGTTCAGATTTGGCAGGGGTGCACTGTATGCTCAATACCCTATTAATTATATTTATTTGTAATTTTGTTATATTTATCTCTATCATATATCTGGATTAAATGGTAGCTTCCTTTCCGATGGACTAAGTAGCTGTAGAAACCTGCAACAAATCCAGATTGGATTTCACCCAGGTGTTTATTTTATAGTAAAGCACTAAGAAAAAAAAACTTACCTGCTCAAATTTGATGATGTAACTAGACATTTATTTTCATGCCTAATATTACAATTATAGTACCACACTACATTTGCAGTACCTATTTACCATATATTCTAAATTTAATGAATATTATCACTTACCAGATGAATCCTCTGACTCACTTGATGAATCAGAACTATCACTGCTACTTTCTGAAGAGCTCTCTGAACTGCTGCTGCTGCTGGAGCTACTACTGCTACTACTAGTGCTGGTACTGCTGCTACTGCTGCTGTCACTTTCACTGCTACTATCACTGCTGCTATCACTCTCACTCTTGTTACTATCATTTTTATTTAACTGCTGCTGCACAGGTGCCACTACAGCCGTTGGCTTTGGCTGTAATTAAAAGAAAGTTTACAAAATCAGAATGTATAAAGCTTACGAACCTAACAAATAAAGTACAGCATTGAGGTTAGACAAAAGTTCTGAGAACAGCGTGACAGTTGATATCCATGACTAATATTACCAAAAAAAGGTTGTGAATGTAAGAATGAAATAAGAAAGCAACATGTAAGATCAGGTGTCAGCTGTATTCCAAACCCAAACTGAAACCCGCTCAGTTGTCTGTATGTTATATAATGGGTAAAAAGCTTACTTGAGTACGTAGAAATTCTCGTAGTCCATCAGTAAGGCCTCCTAAACCACATGATGTAAAGAAATTGATTGCAAAGCGAGTATTTCGTGGGTTGTCTCTTGGCAGCAAGCCCTCAAAAGCTGCGGCAAGAGTTGGATCCCTCAGTCTCTCATTAAGTTTTGCTAAACTCATAAACTCTGCAAGTTCCTGTAAAATATTAGATTAATAAGTACAGCATGCAGACGAGGAGTCACAATAACGTGGCTGAAGTATGTTGACCAAACCACACACTAGAAAGTGAAGGGACGACAATGTTTCGGTCCGTCCTGGACCATTCTCAAGTCGATTCTCACAATCAACTTGAGAATGGTTCAGGATGGACCAAACGTCGTCGTCCCTTCACTTTTTAGTGTGTGGGTTGGTCAACAATAAGTGCAGTATATTATTTTAGAATATAATTTTCAGGATTAAAAAATAAATCAGCAATAGGCCTATACATTTCTTAGGAAAAGGCAATTTTCATATTTTTTAAAATACAGTATCCTGCTTGCATATTATTCATGAATTATTCAGATGCTAAATGATGCATAAATGTTAAGAGTATGATTTAGACACATGTGTAGACAGGCAAATTATAAAAAGGATAATAGAACTGAGTAATGTGCTAAAAATGTCAAAAACTTTAGTAAAGTAACATGTTTAATTCGACCAATCCTAAAAAAATTACAGAATCTCTAACTTCTATGAATGGAATATACAAAATATGTACTGTTGTACAAAATGTGCACGTGTACAAAATGTACACATTTTGTACTAAGGAATATTGAAGGACAACAAAAAAGTAAAACAAGAATAACCATAAATCTATCCTGTCTTAGGCCTAAATAAACAATCTTAGGCCTAATATTCAAAATCTTAAGGCTAATTAATTTAGTTCATATATGTACAGTACTAAATCTAGGAAAAGTTAGGTTTGGTTGTCATCATTCTTTGGCATTCTACAAAATTAACAAAGTAATTATGGAAAGAAGGCACTAAGACTGGGAGGACTATATTGTAACGCTTGTTGCAGGATATTCAAAAGGTGCCAATATCACTCAGGATGCCAACACGAGAACAAAAATACAATGTGAATATCATCAGAGCTATAGGAATCGCCAAGGATACAACTGAGAGACAAGGAACCTACAGGGCCATTAGACAAGTGTCATGATATGAAGCAACGTGAGGATCTTTACAGCTAAATGGTAAAGATAAACATCACATAAACCAGAAAAGTTGTACAGCATTAAGCTTTAGAGACAATAAAACAAAGCAGAGAAGAGTATGTGAGCAAAGGGGTATAAAGAAGAATATCAGTGAAATTTAACAAATAAAGTCAAGGGCAATGTGAATGAATTAATTTAATCATTCTAGTCAAAGGATAATGTACAAACTAAAGTAAACAGAGTTACTGGCAAATCTAATACTTACTTGGAAAAGAATTTTAATGAAGACTCGTGAAGAGCTAGTTGTTTCGTCCTCATTTAAGCGAATATGACTCAAAACCTCCCAAGAAATTGCATCTGAAAATAGTAAATGAGCAAAGAGTCGAGCCACATTGCGAAGTTTTTCTGTCTCAAGACGATGACATGTGTCATAAGCATCCTTGAAGATCTGTTGAAAAGGTTCCTGATAAACCTTATTGATCATACAGAAACGTTGAGCCAAAAGACCATAGAACTTTATGTATGTTCGTTGTTGAGCACAGCAATCCAGAATCATGTTGCATAATTCAGTCTCCCATCCTGGCTTGATTTCACCCTTAAGAAGTTTGTGGGCACATTCATCTACATCCAATGAAGACTGTATAGTGAGATACACCGTGCGACGGAATGCCACCATGTTTGTCTCGGTCTGATCAATAATGGTCTGGGCCTCTTGCTTTTCATCTTCATCTTCAGTTCCTTCATCACTATCAGAACCAATCTCTGACCCTCCTTCTGAACCACTTTCATCACTATCCTCCCCAAGGATACCAGCACGAATTTCTTTGTACTTTTCTTCACTCTCTTCATATTCTGTGTCATGTTTAAAGACATTAAGGATTTCTTGACCATCCAATTTTCCATCCAACTCCACAATATGTGTAAACTGATCATCTTCTTCAACAAGATCCAATTCTTCTAGGACAGAGGGATGATCTTTGAACCCATCTTTAACAATGGCAAATATAACTTCTAGCATGTATGCAACACGTTGCTCTAATTTACCTTCATGCAACACATGCCTTAATGTTTCAAATATAATTTTCATTCCCCGAGGACTGACTTCATTTAACTTCATGCCACACTCTGTAAGGAAAGTAATAGCTAGTTCACATGAATCATTTCTTGATTTCTCTGCAACTTCTGATTCTTCAGTAATATCTTTAGCTCTCTCAAGTAGGAATGTTAGAATCTCTAAAGCCACAACTTCATGAGCAACTTGTTGGTTAATAAGATGCGCAATAAAGCGACAAGAAGACATGCACACATTTTTATCATTTCTTTTAACGCCGCGTCTTAGCTGAATTACTAAACGTTTTAGTAACAATTCACCAATCTGTGGAAACTTGCTATTTATAATAGCAACCATAGCAGCATAAACATGAGTAAATGTTGGTGAGAATGACTGAGCCTGCATGAGGGCTCTACATAATACACCCCTTCCACGGACTATGTTTTCCTGAAGCAACTCTCGTACAATGATACCTATGTTTGAAACATTAACTTTATTAACAAGACCATTAATAGACTTTTTAAGTGCTTCCCATGCCAATCTCTGGAAAACAGCACTTGACTTATCTGTGATCTGTGCTTGCATCATCTTCAACTTTGCTGGGGGAATATAGGCACCACCAGTCCTGGTTGTCAATGGGTCCATTACTGGTTTTTTTATTAGCTCCTTAGTTGATGGTTTAGGGTCTTTACTTTCATTCTTTTTGTCTGTAACATCAAGGTCATCTTTCCGTCTTTTAACATTTCTGACCTCGTCTTCATCACTATTCTTTTTGTATTGCTGCTCATTCTCTTTCCTCCTTTCATCACTTCTATCTCTATTTTTTCCTCTTTCTAGTCCTTGCCCTCTGCCTCTTGGATCCTCAATCTGAATGCCTAGTTTGTCAGCATATTTATTCCAATAAGTGTCACTTGTTTTCAGCTGCTTACCTTTAGGCTGTCGCGGGACTTCCTTACTGTGGTCCTCTCCCCAGTATCGCCCTCCAATCTGTGGTTCTTCAGAATCCTGCTCCCTAGTAGAATCTTCATCCTCTGAGCTATGATATCTTGGTCTTTTATCATTCTTGGCGATTTTATCATCATTGGCATTGTTACTTTTTTTGTCCTCAATTTGTGCATCATATCTACTGTTAGAATTGGAACGTGACCGAGAGCGAGATTTTTTGTCCTTGCTAGCACTTTCTTTGGTTTGTGATGGGCTTGTACCTTTAGAGCTGCTTTCCAGAGTTTTGAGCTTCTTACTAAGGAGAGCATCTTTCTCTCTCTCTAGATTTTCACTTCTTTGGCGAATTTCTTCTTCTATTTGCAACTGTTCTTCTAACTGCTTTTTTTTCCTTAACAACTCTTGTTCAGTTGTTTCATCACTGTCATATACTCTTGATCTATCTTCCTTTATGTTCTCATCACTTTCACTAGTACTGGAAGATTTTTTGCTCTTATGCTTCTTATGTTTCTTTTTCTTCCTGCGATCATCTGGTTCAGAACCTTTTTTGAGCATTTTTGATTTACTTTTTCCACCACTTTCATTTTTGTTACTCTCAGATTTGCCACCTCCCTTCTTGGCAATTTTGGGGGGGACTCCATGACACTCGTTGTCAGTACCTGATCCCACCTTCTGTTCTTCCAAAGGTTGAGCTGTACTTCTTTTTCTTCCTGGCAACACTTTTCGCTCTGAGATGGCAACATCATCTCTCTCAATATTAGGATCTGTCTCTATTTTCTTCTCATTCTTTCTATTAGACTGTTCCTTGGAATTTAAATCATCTTCTCTAGAAACAGATTTTCCAATTACTTTCCCTTCCAATTTTTTATCAGTTTTATGTAAAATCTTGCAAGTACCATGATCCAAGAGTGATTTGACACTTAGCTCAGGTGTCCTTCCAGTACTGGATATGTCTTCTACTAAATTACCTCCAAGATTTAAACCTGCACGAAGTTCTTTTTCTTTTTCTTTTGGGATATCAGAAACCCTGAGGTGTTTACTATCTGATTCCATACATTCACTGCCATTATTCTTACTTGAATGTTTATGACTATTTCTCTCAACTTCAGCATCATCACTATCAGTGTCCTCACCAGATTCTCTCTGATTTTCATTACCGATTTCTTCTAGACTATTTTTATCTTGGATTGATTCAGATTTTCCATCTACAGATTTTACAAGTGCCTGTGATCTTTTTGCAGGTTCTAAATTGTTAACATTGCAAGCAGAACTCTCACCTCTCTTATCTGACTCTTCACGAGCTAAGTTCTGGACTATTATTGCTTCAGGATTATCGTTTGAGCTTTCACTTTTTTTCATTGCAATTTTATCACCAGAATTACATTTATCAGAGCTTTGATCCGTCATTTTTTCTGTTACTTTTTCAGGACCTGATTTTTTCTCTCTCAATTTTTCAGGCACCTTTTCAAAACCAGTCTTTTTCTCAGTAAACTTTCCAGGACCTGCCTTTTTTCCTGTCAAATTTTCAGGTACCTTTTCAAGGCCTATCTTTTTCTCTGTAATTTTTTTTTGTATCTTTTCAGGTACCTTTTCAATTATTTTTTCAGGCCATGCCTTCTTATCTTTAAATTTGTCTTTTTCATTTTCACTACCTGCCTTTGGCTCTGCCAATTTTTCTAGTACCTTTTCAGGACCTTCCTTTGGCTCTGCCAATTTTTCTGGTACCTTTTCAGGACTTTCCTTTGGCTCTGCCAATTTTTCTGGTACCTTTTCAGGAACCTCCTTTGGCTCTGCCAATTTTTCTGGTACCTTTTCAGGACCTTCCTTTGGCTCTGCCAATTTTTCTGGTACCTTTTCAGGACCTTCCTTTGGCTCTGCCAATTTTTCTGGCACCTTTTCAGGACCTTCCTTTGGCTCTCCCAATTTTTCTGGCACCTTTTCTAGACCTTCCTTTGGCTCTGCCAATTTTTCTTGTACTTTTTCAGGACCTTCCTTTTGTTCATCCAATTTTTCTGGTACCTTTTCAGGACCTGTCTTTTCCTCTGCCAATTTTTCTGGTATCTTTTCAAGACCTTCCTTTTGTTCTGCTAATTTTTCTGGTACCTTTTCAGGGCTTGCCTTTTGTTCTGCCAATTTTTCTGGTACTTTTTCAGGGCCTGCCTTTTGTTCTGCCAATTTTTCTGGTACCTTTTCAGGGCCTGCCTTTTGTTTTGACAATTTTCCTGGTACCTTTTCAGGGCCTGCCTTTTGTTCTGACAATTTTTCTGGTACCTTTTCAAGGCTTGCCTTTTGTTTTGACAATTTTTCTGGTACCTTTTCAGGGCCTACCTTTTGTTTTACCAATTTTTCTGGTACCTTTTCAGGGCTTGCCTTTTGTTCTGCCAATTTTTCTGGTACTTTTTCAGGGCCTGCCTTTTGCTCTGCCAATTTTGTCGATAGCTTTTCAGGACCCGACTCTCGCTCATCTATTTTTTCTGGTACCTTTTCTGGACCTGACTCTTCCTCAGCCATTTCTTCTGTTTCCTTTTCAAGGTCATCCTTTTTCTCAGTCAATTTTTTCGATACCTTTTCAAAATCTGTTTTTTTTTCTCTCAATTTTTCTGTTACTTTATCAGGACCGGTCTTTCTCTCTCTCAATTTTTCTGTTGCCTTTTCAGGTCTTACCAACTTTTCTACCAGTTTGGCTGTTACTTTTTCAGGACCTACCTTCTTCTCTGCTACTTTTTCAGTTACCTTTTCAAAACTTGTTTTTTTCTCTGCCATTTGTTCTGTTACCTTTAGATGATCTGTCTTTTTATCAGTAAATTTGTCAGTACCTGCCATTTTCTCTATCAACTTGTCTGTTACATTTTCAGGTAGTGCCCTTTTCTCTGAACAATACTGTGTTACCTTTAAAGGACCTGCCTTTTTTTCTGTCTGTTCTTCAATTACTTTTTCATGATTCGTCCTTTTCCCTGTCAATTTCTCTGTTACCTTTTCAGGGTCTGTCAGTTTTTCTTTTATTTTTTCAGGACCTGTCAATTTTTCTTTTACCTTTTCAAGACCTGTTAATTTTTCTTTTACTTTCACAGGACCTGTTCTTTTCTCTGTCAATGTATCTGTTATCTTTTCAAGACCAGTCTCTCTCTCTCTAAATTTTTCAGTTATCCTTGCAGCAACTGTCTTTTTCTCAGTAAATTTTTCTGTTACCTTTTCAATACCTACCTTTTTCTCTGTTAATTTTTCCGTTATCTTTTCAGGGCCTGCCCTTTTCTCTCTCAACTTTTCTGAGGCCTTCACAGGACCTACTTTTTTTGTTGTAAATTTTTCAGTTATTTCAGGATTTGAGATTTCAGTGTCAGTATCTGAACTTTCACTATCTTTCCTCTTATCTGGAAGTTTACTCGAAGCTCTTTCGACTTTAGCTTTTCTGGAACTTGTTTCAATAACATAGGCTTTCTTTTTCTCCGATTCCTTCACCATTTTTTCAGGCTCGGAGATTTCTGGTCTGTCATATTTTCGAATATTCAATTTTTTTTTAGGCTTTTCAGGTTCAGAGTTGTCTGAATCAGAGCTAGAAGAACTCCTATTGGTTCTATTCCGTTTAGATATAGTTTCAGAACTTTTTTCCGGCTCAGAATCTTCAGAGCTACTATCACTATCTGAAGAACTCTTGCTCACTTTCTTTTTTAACACTTTATGAAATACTTTTCCTTCAATATCTTTTACACCAGCCTCTGAATTTGAAGTTTTCAGGGATTTCTTTTCAAGGTCCTTTTCAAATTTCTTTTTTTCAGTTTTCCCTTCTGTAGATTTACTTGGTTTAGCATGCTTCTTCCTTGTATATTCATGATAACTTGTGTCACGTTTTTCTGAATGTTCACGATCACTGCGAATAAATTTCTTTGTACGTTCGTGATCACTGCTGTCACGTTTCTTTGAATGCTCACGATCACTGCTGTCATATTTTTTTGAGTATTCATTATCACTACTGTCAGATTTCTTTGCAACATCTGTATCGTCAGCAGAAGAATCAGTAGTACTTGAATGTGCCTTCTTAACCTTTGCATCTTCATCTGATGAATCATCACTGTCATCAGATTCCTTCTTTTTCTTTGTGTCTTCATTAGATGAACTGTCACTGCTTGAGTCACTAGTAGATGAGCTTCTTCTTGACCTTCTATTAGTTCTTCGACTTCTGCGATCTGGGGAGCGTGATGATCTGCTAGTTCTTTCTGGAGAGTATTCTTTGTAATATCTTTCTGACCGTACATTACGGCTATTCATCATGTCCATCCTATTTCTATTTCCATATCTGTCCCAAATTCTACCTCTGTGCCTAAATCGTTCATCTCTGCCTCTATACCTATCCCAACTTTGATGTTCATCATCAGAACTAGAGTAATCTCTTCCATATCTTCGTCTATCACCTCTCATATGATCCCTGTTTCGATGATATCTTTCATTTTTCGGATGATATGTGTGCCAACGATTCCGACCTCTGTTCCAACCTCTTGTTTTTTCCCTCACATATCTTTCTCTACTATGACTTCTGTCTCGACTTCCACTTCTCCTGTTATACTTTTGATATCTATCTCTTTCTTTTTCTCTGTCATGTCTATTACTTCGCTCTCTCTCATGACTCCGCCTATATCTGTCTCTTCGATCACTCCCAGGGGAGCGAGACCGACTGCCACTGCCCATCTGGAATATGAAAAAAATGAAAGGTAACAAACACTACTGTACAATCACTGACTGGGCAACACTGCCTTGAATGTGGCCTATTATATAAAATATAACATTCAAGCTATACTAAACATTGGGTTATCAATATCAAAATATCCAACATCTAATAGCTAGTTCCTGTCCTTCATAGAAATGAAAAGTGTATAAATTTTAAATGGTAAATTTTACTTGTATCACCATTGAAATATGCTACAAAGGTGATTTTATCCAAAAAACTAAATATTTTTTATTGCAGTTAGTTGAATAAGGCATCCCCAGTCCCCATGCCAGATATATCTCACAATCTTTATCCATAAGAGAGAATGTCTGTCTCTTTTCAAGGTTTGAGGCCAGACACTTACGGCTAGCTTCATTAAATTTTGCAGATTTAATGGCGATTTAAATTGAGTGTGTCATAGGGAAGTCGGGGTTGGCTATAGCTACTTGAAAAGAGCTATGGCCCCAATGCCCCTCCTTTACTAAGCCTGGGGATGTGAAACATTTGGCCACAAGTCCATAAAATAGCATTAGTTTAACCCCTGGGCTGCACCACTGATTATACAATGCAACACTCAGGTGCACATAAAATATAACAAAAAAATTATTTCTTATACTGTTAAAATGAATTTACTGATCATGGGAAAATTATAAAAAAATTGTATGTGACTTACTTTGGCCATGATAAAGCCTGAAAGTCTCACAACACGTCACGATTTATGTGCACTCATCGAGCAATCGCCCCAGGGTGGTCGCTGTTTATAGATTTCCAAATACTAATACAATTGCATTCTCAAATATCTATCTTGAGATGATTTCGGGGCTTTAGTGTCCCCACGGCTCGGTCCTCGACCAGGCCTCCACCCCCAGGAAGCAGCCCGTGACAGCTGACTAACACCCAGGTACCTATTTTACTGCTAAGTAACAGGGGCATAGGGTGAAAGAAACTCTGCCCATTGTTTCTCGCCGGCGCCTAGGATAATAATCTAAGGAATCTAATCATAACCAACAAACTCAACAAAAATCACATCATCCTAGGTGAAAACTTAAACATTGACCTTTGTCAACAAAATAGCCCACAAGTCAACTAATTCCTAAACAGCATAACTCCTATATGTCAATCTCCATGATCACCAAACCCACATGAATCACTCAAACATCCACTACAACCTCGGGCCACATGTGGACTAACATAACAACCCCCCTTGCCTCTGGTATAATCACTGACAGAACAACCGGTTACTATCCTACCTTCCTCACAGCAAACATGGACATAACACCTTCAGATACCATGAAACGTATCTTCAGACTACACAGCAAAACAGCAATAGGGAATCTCATAAATGCACTTCACAATATAAACTGGGAATCTGAATTCAATAATACACAGGATATAAATTCATTAACCAACATCTTTCTCTCCAAAACTCTAAGCCCCTACAACACACACACTCTGTCCTCTCCTCACCAGGAAAGTAAGTGGTAAAAGATTAAACAACCCTTGGCTCACAAGTGGCATACTTAAAGCAACTAATAAAAAACAAATATGAAAAAAAAGTTGTGACCTAGTTACAATAGTACTGTAGTAGTAAAGAGATACTCATCAATGCTAACTAGTAAAATAAGTAGAGCCAAACTTTCCTTTTATGAGAATAGTTCTAAAGAAGCAAAAGGATATATGAAATGCACATGGAAAGCCATCCCTAACATCCTAGGATCTATACAATAATCACATGACAAGCAGATAAAACTCCTTAAGGATGGTTACACACTTGCAATAGACCTAGAATTTAATAGCTTCTTTTCATCAATTGGTGCTAAGCTTGCAAGGAAAATTTAAGTAATTAAAAAATGAACAATTTAAATATGTTAAATTTCTTCAACATTTCGCATGTGTTAGTCTACTTCTCATTTAGCATTTACCTTACGGGCTCACTATAGCCCGTGCTACATGGAAATTTTGTTCCGAGAACCTGAATCTAAAACAACAAGTAGTATTTACTCCATTATAAGTATAGTATAACAATTTTTAATTTAATTATAGGTATTTTAAGGTTTGTGCAAAGTGCCCTGCATTACTGGGTTGGCTAATTTAAATTAACATGCAACCCCTTGTACCTTCAAATATACCTCTGTATTGTATTTTATGCATATGTTGTTCATAATAATATTGCTATCATCACCGTCATTATTATTAGTAACACCATACACTTCTTACACAATACCAGTATACACAGAACAACAATCTCTCTGACTTTTGTTAGGTTGTGAAAGGGGATGTTAGAATAGGTAAAGTTAGGATAGGATAGGCTAGGCTAGGCTAGGTTTGTTTAGTTTTGATGTAGAGATATACAACATTTGGCTCTTTTAGAACCCTTGGTCCACAGTGATCACAAAGGGCCAACATTTACAATAAACATGACGAATTTCACTGCAAAATTGTAGTTATTCGGATTACCGTGATATTCAGGTCCAGCCATCGACGGTAGAGCCAGTAGCCATCGGGGTCTGTAGCCAGCAGCTATAGCAAAGCTTCTAACTTAATTAACACAAGCCTACGAGGCGAGTCTGCCAGGTTAACAAAGTGGCCACAACACAACACAGCATAATATCAACAAAATTCAGTCGAGATAATTAATCTAGTGGTCACATATGACCGCAGTTACAAATGTTTTGCAAACTTTTCTTGCGTCCAGTTTCCTCACATTATCTGACACACCAGCCTCACTCACACTAACCTAAGGGTATAACAGACAATCCAACTTACACTGTGCGTAATATGCTAGCTACACACACTGGGTTATCTCCTGCCAAATAACAAATAGCTAGTAGTTTTGTGATGACCTCCACAAATGTCGGCTGCGTTCCCAGAGACGTGAGCCAGTTGTTCTTGTAGACCACGCATCCGGATCACCGGCCCTTCCTCCCTCCTTATATATTCTCTCTCTCTCTCTCTTGTTCGGTAATACGTTTATTGTTTGCGATGTGTGTCTATGTATGTATTAACACGATGTACTGAACGGGGTGAGAATAGCTTGAGCTACCTCATCCCTTTGTGTGTATTTTACCTCAATAAACTTATTTCAATTTCATTTTCCTTCTCTCTCTCTCACAATCAGCATTTATCTATGGCTCCCATAACACCCTACCATCATCCTACACTCTAAACCATCAGCGATATATTCTTATGTACATTTTATTTTGTTATTTATATATACAAGGTACAATGGGTTGTGCAAATACATATGTTGCTGATTAAGTTGTAGTATATTCTCGCATTATTATTATTATTATTATTATTATTATGTTTAGGTATATACAGCCATATAACATGCTGCTATTCTATAGGTATTCTGCTACTCTATTAAAACTATAGGGGAACATATATGAGGGATTAGTTTAGATGGAAAGTTAGCTCATCTAATATCCCATCTCACAAATATATCTGTTATAGTAAGTACCCTCAGGCTTCTTGCCGATATACCTATAATTGTCAGCTGCTAGAACTGGTCAAAGTCTACGGTGACGTGTACTCACCTAGTTGTGCTTGCGGGGGTCGAAATCTGGCTCTTTGATCCCGCCACTAAACTGTAAATCAACTCGTGTACAGATGCATGAGCCTATAGGGCTCTATCATATCCACATTTGAAACTGTGTATGGACATCTGGTCACCATTTGGTCCAGGAGACATCTCCCGTCACGCAGGGTGCAGTCGCACCTCCACAGATCTCCAGTATCAGCTCTTGATACTGGTAATGGCTTAAAAGGGCCACCACTTACGGGCTATTCATGCCCGTGCCACCTCTTGGGTGGCTTAATCTTCATCAATCAATCATGTGTATGGAGACTTGGAATTGAATCTGAAGAGCATTGGGGATAGAATTTCATAGATTAATGTAGCCTCTGCCATTAGATTAATGAGAGGTGGGAAAGCTAATGAATTATTCTTCTCAGATCAAAAGGTGGGAAGTAATGAACAATGTATGATAAAGTATAAGAAGAGAAAATATATGAGAACAGTGTGTTCTAATGTTATAAAGTATGATGTTATTCCAAAATGTATTTCTTTGCCTAAGAGACAATTCACACCACCATGGGAGAATTGTAACATAGATGTAGTGATTATTCCCTTGCAAAAGAAAAAAGTGTGTATGAGATAGGAGAGCTGTGGGCAACATATGATTGTATAATTAGAAAATTACCTGCAGAAAACACTCTACATGTATATTTGTGATGGGTCAGTAGCTAGGGATGGAAAGCCAGGATGTGGAGTCTTGATTAGGGAGTACACTGACATCGGCACTGTAGATACTGTTATTGGACGCCGCTTAACTGACAATGTCTCTTCAACGCAGGTTGAACTCCAAGGTGTATTATCAGGATTACAGGAAGTAGTCAAATGTGGTAAAAATGCCTGCTTCTTCACTGACAGTACAGGAGCGTTAGTCTTTAAATGGTGCAGTCATCGGGAGGACAAATCCTTCATGCAAACCGCACCTACTATCAAGAAGAAAAGTCTTTAAATAGCAGACGACCAGTTTACCCGTTTATTCCACTAAAATTAAAGTCACCAATAACATAAATACTGTTTGACCTAGATGCTCTAGTTATTTCATACCGAAGTAGGCATCCATCAGTCACAGGAGTCTATGGAGTTGCGCCCTGGTTGTCGGTCTGGAGTAGCCTCTCCAGGGCACAAAGCCAGGGTAAGTTGATACGGGGGAGAAGCTGTCACCCATGCAGCAGATCCCTCCTCTCCACAGCGCCGAAAGTCTCCAATGGAAAGGCAAACGCCAATACAATTGGTTCCAGCGCCGTCGCAGAAACTGTCAGAACGAGGTTGAAGGCAACAACGAACTGCCCTAAGGACTAGAGTTACATTCTGAGTTTGCTGGCCTGCATATATCTCTTATTATAAGTTTTTAACTTTTTCGTGCCTATAAGTCAGTCTCGAGCCCATTGCTAATGTTATGATGGGCCTTTAATTTTGTAACTAGCTCATCAAGATTGTAACTTGCTTAGCTAAATGAATTGTGGGGTTCAGTCCCTGAGCCCATTGTGTGTGTCTGTAACCCTTTCCACTACCGCCTACAAGATGGGTATGGGGTGCATAATAAAAGAAGTAAACTATAAACAGTCTTAGAGCAATAATACACCAAGAACGTCAACAAAACCTTGTAGATCTGAGACAGAGTGAAATCGACACTAGTAAAGTAATTCCTTCTATCATCATACTATCATGCAAGAAGAGCAACACATCTATGGATCATCCAATCAAATCAGCAGACTCCTAGATCTTACTACTGCTTGGTTTTGACTAGCTGTAAGTACTGTATCTCTGGGAATTTTCATTACCTGATTTACCTGAGGGCCACAAACCCTAGTAGCCTCGACGAGGACAGGAAGCTGCCGGCTTGTTGAAGGTCCCTCCCATTTGCCTTGATGATCTTTTTTCAGGTATATTTTTAAATTCAGCAGTTTTTGCAGTTACGGCTTCGGCGGGTAGGCGGCTCCATGGGTTAATAACCCTTTGGGTAAAAAAGCATCTCCTGTTCTGTCCTACATTGTGGCTTGTTGAGATTGAAACCATTGCTCCTTGTTTGTGTTACATCTGACCTTCTGAAGAAAATATCCTGATTAATATCCTCCAACTTGTTCAGTATTTTAAAAGTTTCAATGAGATCTGCTTTGTCATGCCTGGTTTGCAGTGTTTATTTATTTATATATAAGAAGGTACATTGGGTTTATTAGAGTATGGAGACTTGAAATTTTACATTCTTATAAAGCCACTAGCACGCATAGCGTTTCGTTTTGGGCAGATCCTTAATCCAACATAATTTTAAGAAGGTAATTCCTAGCAAAATTAAAAATGTTTACAGGTAAGAAAGTATAAAAATACATTGAAATAAAGTATAAAAAGTGTTGTTAGCCCTGTGGCCTTCAAGTGTTCCTGATACGAGAGATGACTTAGCTTTAGAATGACTTGTTGCCCGGTGTTGCACGTTCTTCAGAGCAGCTATGTCCTTCTGAAAATGAGGTCTCCATGCTTGGATACAATAATCTAAATGAGAGGCACACCAGATATTTATACAGTTGAACCATTACCTTCTTTTCCTTATAGTCAAAAGTATGCTGTATTATCCCAAGATTTTGGTTAGCTTTTCTGACTGCTGCACCCACCTGTTGTGCATCTTTTAATGAGTGGCGGATCTTTACTCTAAGGTCACTTTCTTCATCAATATGGTGTAATGTTCATATGACTATTAATGTGGTAGTTGTGGCGTCGGTTGTTTTTCCCCACATGCATGGTCTTGCATTTGTCGATATTAAAAAGCATTTTCCAGTCTTCTGACCATTTGTAGAGTTTATGGCGAGTATATCAATAATATACCCGCTCCAAACTCTTATTAGCTTAATAAAATGGATTTGTTAAGTCTACGTAATCCACTAATTACAATTAATACTCTTCCCAAATGTACAGTTAATAACTTTTCCCTAACCTGCTTAGAAGATGATTTTAGTATTTTATGTAAAAATAGCATAAAATTAAAATGTCATTATACAGAAGAAAACTCAAAGAGATGGGGGTCCAGTCATAAATTATTTACTATTGGAAGACCACTGTTTAACAGACTGAGCCAATGACTTCGAGACACCCCAAGTGCAAAAATAATTACTTGGTACACATATACAAAAATAAAGTGCCTGTTTTTATTTCAAAGACTGTGGGGTTGTTTGCACCTCTGAAATGTGAGACAGAATGCCACCATTTTTGCAATGTAATAACATTGAGTAAATCATCAGGAAAACAAAATATACTCAATAATGTTTATTATATAATTCATTGACCAATATTTTTACCAGGGAATATACTGATAGTACGTATTTATAATTAATTTTTAATAATACAGTAATGTACAGTATAAGTGGAGTCACTGCAAAAATAATCAATCCAAAATAGCTGATAGTTAACCTTGAGGAAATCACTTCTTGTTCTTATCAGTTGGATTTTTCTCCTTCTTGAATAGCTGTAAAAAAAATACATATTACTAAATATGAATATTAACAAATACTGTATAATGATAAGAATAATGAAGCAGCTATGTATTACTTGCATGATGGCAATCAAGAAAATATCTGAGTCAAGCATATCTTGGGATACAATGTGACAATGAATGTAGGGTGTATAATAATTACAGGGTGCTGTAGCAAGTACAGGGAGTATAATAATTACAGGGTGTTACAGCATGTACAGGGAGTATAATAATTACAGGGTGTTACAGCATGTACAGGGAGTATAATAATTACAGGGTGTTACAGCATGTACAGGGAGTATAATAATTACAGGGTGCTACAGCAAGTACAGAGATTATAATAATTACAGGGTGTTGTAGCAAGTACAGGGAGTATAATAATTACAGTGTGCTACAGCAAGTACAGAGAGTATAACGAGTTCTGGGAGTCAAGGTCTAATCATCTAATGAACATGGGGTGTTTGTGGTTTGCAAGGCTGTGGATGCAGGTGTGGTGGTTGCAATGGTAGCAATTTCAGAGGTGGTGGTATTATTAGTGGCTACAGTGGTCATGGTTGCAGTAGTGGTAAAGGAAGGTGTAGTAGATGGTGGAAGTGGTTGTGGTGATGTTGAAGATTGTGGCTTTTAGTGGTCTTAGTAGTAGTAGTGTGGAGGG